TTATTTAACCAGGCTAATCCCATTGAGATCTCAGGTCTCTTTTGCAAGGGCAGCCTGGGCCTGAAAGCAACCTAGTGTACATAATTTGTCATTTTTGTATCATTAGACTGAAGTTGCGATTTGTTTGTCTTGTAGATAACTTTCACATCAGCCCCCATCATTTAAGGAGACAGCTGACCTGACTGCAGATCAGCAGGCGTTTACACAGTGATCTTGATGATAAACTTTATCAGTGACCAGCTGAGGGGTTCAGGCCATCTCCATGGTTATTGAATGATGCACAGAAAATCATTAGAAGATGAACTCATTATCTCGAGAAAATGGTGCTCGTTATTTCGTGATAATGACAAAATATGTCGCTATCATGAGAAAATCATGGAAAAAATTTTTTGCTCAAAATGGCTGCTCTCGGCTTCCGTACAAAACATAAGCTAAAACCGTTGAAAAAGAAAACAACTAAAATTTGCCCAATTATTGCTAAAAGCTAAAATTAGCTATACAGTAGCTAAAAGCTAAAATAACCAAAATCATAGTCAAAGACTAAATGAACAAAACAGCAGCTTAAAGTTAAATTAGAAAAGCTGTAGCTAAAGGTTAAATGTACAATTTAAGCTAAAAGCTTTAATTATAAAAAAATGTGGCTAAAATTATAGTTATATAGACCATAGCTAAAAGCTAAAGATAGCAAGGCAGAAGCTAAAAGCTTCAAAATTACAAAAATAGACAAAATATGTTAAAGTAAATTTAAAAGAACACTATTTAGCAATTTTTTGTAAATAAAAATATTTATAAAAATTCTAAAAGTCATGACACACATTGATTTAAATGTTTTGAGAAATAAATGGTTAAAACAGCACAAAGGTGGAAGTAGTTTGATGGCAAAAAATGTGCAAAATTAAAAAGGAAAATATTGGTGGGAAAACTGAATGATTGTGTCCAAATTTTAACTATTTGGTCATCCTTTTGCTGCATATGTTTTAGTCTGAACTGAAATCTAAATTGTATTTTTAACCAACTGAAATATGCATTTCAAAATGTGATTAACACTATACCCTTCATTAAATTCTCAAGTCATTTGCTGTAACATGACTTACATTTCTTGCAGGTTTCAGGTGCAGATTTGACTGGAATCAGTATAAAAGGTTCGACATCAGACGCCTCACATGTCTACAGGTGAGACACAAACACGAGGCAGTTGTTGGCACCTGCTGGACATTAAAAGAAACAACATTTTAGTAAAAACTAAACTGAACTCTAATGGATCAAGCAGTCTGTAATTTTCAGGATCACCGTGACGTTTTTGTTTGAGTGACTAGTTCAAAATGTTTAATATTGTGCTTTAATTGACTGCTTTATTGAACCCAGCGACCTGCCAMCTCCTGTGTCTGCTTGTCTTGAGCCTGACTCGCCCACTCAAGAACTGGACTTTATCCTACAGGATTTAATGGGTCTGGCACAAGGGGTCAGTACATCTGTAAATCAACCATAAGCTGATCATTTGTTTACAACGAGCAATCATATTAGTTCAACACTGTGTCCAACACTGTACATTGAAGAGATGTGTGTGTGTTTGTGTGTGTGTGTGTGTGTGTGTGTGTGTGTGTGTGTGTACTTGTTTTGGCTACAGAGTGAGGACCATTTGCACCATATTTACTATCAGTGAGGTCTTTGATGTAAAATGAGGACCTTTTCAATGTCCTCACTTTATTTGCAGCTCTGCTGTGCTTTACTAGTTAGATTTAGAGGTATGGTGTGAACTAAGTTCAGGTTCAGGTTAGTGTTAGCTATAGACCAGTAATGGTTAGTTTTAGGG